TATATATATATATATATATATATATATATAATTTTCTTGTAATTTTCAAATCATGTTTTTTATGATTGTCTGCTGTTGTACTGATAAATATCTCCTGGAGGATAAACTATATCTTGGCTGCAAGTATCAAGCTGCAAAATCCTTTGTTTTCTACAACTGATAGCTGTTGGTCATTAATTACGATGAAGTTTAGCGACTTCTCGGTAAACATTCAAGCTCCAGGGCTTCAGCGATGTGTTTTTCTTGTTCAATCCGATACAAGCAGCCTGATTTCAATCAGCCATGCTCAATCTGCCACTCCTCTGAGACGGGCAGACTGAGCGTGGCTGGCCAGGGTCGAGTTGCCTGTTTCGGGTTGAGCAAGAGTAGCGCCCCACTGAAGCCACGGAGCTCAAATGTACAACATAAAACTAACTTTACCGCGGTTTAATGTAAATGGACTGTACTTATACAGCGCCTTTCGATCTTATTTCAAGAAACTCAAAGCGCTTTACACTACAATCTGTGTCCTCATTTACCCATTCATACAGCACTCTACATCTCTGCAAAGATAATTGAACAAATCATTCTAAAGAGACTAATCTGTGCTTTAGATCACATTCATACACTGATGGGACACACATCAGAGACTATGAGGGGTTCAGTGTCTTACCCTGAGACACTTCAACATGTGACTGCTGGTGGATTCGAACCCCCAACTCTTGCACTGGAGGACGACTGCTCTAACCACTCAGCCACAGCTGTGGTGCTATGGCTCTGCAGACATTGCATGTTGCTGTCTTGATTTGTGGCGTTTCTAGTGTAAAATACTTCCACACAGGGAACATGTTTAGATGAAAAGTTGGTATGAATTGTGCAGCTAACTCAGTCCTCACGTTGTAGCTGCTGCAAACTATGAAATGGATTTCCTGAATGTGAGGCGGGTCTTATTACTCTGGGTTCATGAAACACACCTCCATTCAGGAAATCCATTCCATAGTTTGAAGCCAACATGCATCATGGATCCGAAATCTCTGCAGGTTTGGACTGGAAAAATCAGATATGTAAATTATGCTGGTATCGGAGGCTGATACCGATACCGGATTGGATCAGCCCCAACACTAATTAGGAGGCTGAACATGTTTCACATAAAATGCTTACATTCCATCTTGTGTGTCAAAAGGCAGGATTGTGTCACAAATGCTGATGTTCTTTGTTGCTCAAATACTCACGACATGAAGACCCTACAGATGATTGGACAACTGTGAAAGTGCAGTCACGTCCAGCAGATGGAGGACTGTAGATTACCAAAGAGTATATTCTACTCAGAGCTTTTGAGTGGGAAGCGCAACTCCAGCATCGGACGTCTTTAAACGTAATTTGACTGTGTGTAGTTTGGCTACCAAAGAGAGGGAAGGAGGCTGCTCAAAGAAGATCAATTTGGCATTCAAAGGTCAAGAAAGGCGTCTCAAACTTTGAAAATTCTTGCTTTTCTGAGTTAGACCTCAAATGACAAATTTGAAAGAACTGACATAAACCCTCCTACAACTACACGTACTGTATAGCAGTGCGGGCCCGCTATACTGCGTAACCTGCGGCAGGATATTTAAGACGAAGTTAGGATTTGCCAGCCACATACGAGCACATTCCAGAAGCTAGCCAGGGTCGCCATCGTCGAACACAATGCAGATGACATCGTCACTGTTGAGATATTATTATTTTTTCATTCAACCTTTATTTATACAAATTAATCTCAATGAGTTACGAGGACTCATTTACAAGAGAGACCTGTTTTAAACCAAGAAGACAGATAAGGTACAGACACCATAGACAATCATCAAAGCATATAAAATGAAAAATAAATAAAATAAATTACATAAAAAAAACTAAACAAAAATAGCTACAGTACAAAGTGATGTGAAACACTAAAAACAGGAACATGTCTTTACAACAGTCCTTTAGAGTGGTCAAAGTCGACAACTTCAGCAGGTTACAGCAGCGGAGTAAGAGAAGGCCCTATTGCCAAGTTCGGTCCACACTGAGATAATAATGTGACTCACTGATTGCCCACAGGTGGATTAATTTTAATATGTGGCTTCAGAATGTACTGGTTGGGCATTCAAAGCAAAGGGGATAAACTCATATGCGTCACCTGTTTGCAGATTTATATTTTTTAGAATGATTAGAATTTTTTTTAATTTCTTCTCATTAATATTAACTATTTTGTATAGGTTTGTGACATATAATCTAAGTAAATACAATTCTAGGTTGAAAAGCAAATCAAAATAATTTCCTTTTTCATTCAACTTTATTTATACAGGTTAATCCCATTGAGCCTCAGGGACTCATTCACAAGAGAAACCTGAATTTTAACAAAGAGTGATGACAACAATGGACAACAACGACAACAATAGACAATCATAAAGGATGCATACAAATTTATATATTTTTTAAACAAGTGAAAATTAAATGTTAAGTAAAAGGATAATTAAAAGGAAAAGTAGCAACAAAACAGCTAGGTTTTAAGGTGGTGTAGAATACTAAAAACAGGAATATGTCTGTATTGGTTTTTGCCAGGAACTTAACAAATGTTTAAAGCCACTTTTGAGGTTAACTTCTCACCTGGTCTGATCTTGGTGCTGGTCAAAGGCCCTGAGAGTTTCACTTGATGAGTAGGACTTCTGAGTGGGAACCCGGAGACCATGGGAGCCAATAACACAGTCCTCACTGTCTCCTGAAGAACCTGACAATGTTTTATGCATACACAAACAGACACGTATCAGAACTTGTTCTACATTTTGATCAGTGTCAAAACATGATGTGACATCTCTCCAGAAAAAAATATGAAGTCACAGTCATTCATATGATACAATCTGTTTTGTTTCAAATCATAATTATTATGAGAAGAAAGTGCTACATAAAAAAGAAAATCTAAAATGTAATACTTTGTACCATGCCCGAGTTTTTGCCTCAGCAAACACCCGAGCCGCATGTCGCTTGGACTGCCGGTACCCATCAGCTGCTTCCAGGGTCCCACAGGCCAAAAAGGCCCAATAGGACTCCTTCTTCAGCCTGACAGCATCCCTCACCGACGGTGTCCACCACCGGGTTCGAGGGTTGCCACCGCGACAGGCACGACAACCTTGCAGCCGCAGTTCCGGTAAGCCGTCTCTACAATAGAGGCACGAAACATGGCCCACTTGGACTCAATGTCCCCCACCTCCCCCGGAACATGTTCCAAGTTCTCCCGGAGGTGGGAGTTAAAGCTCCGTCTCACAGGAGACTCTGCCAGACGTTCCCAGCAAACCCTCACAATACGTTTGGGTCTGCCGGGTCTGACCGGCATCCCCCCCCACCATCAGAGCCAACTCATTATCAGGTAGTGATCAGTGGACAGCTCCGCCCCTCTCTTCACCCAAGTGTCCAAGACATGTGGCAGCAGATCAGATGAAACGACAACAAAGTCGATCATCGAACTGCGGCCTAGGGTGTCCTGGTGCCAAGAGCACATAGGGACACCCTTATGCTTGAACATTGTGTTCGTTATGGACAATCCATGACAAGCACAGAAGTCCAACAACAGAACACCACTCGGGTTCAGATCGGGGGGCGTTCCTCCCAACCACACCACTTCAGGTCTCACTGTTATTGCCCACGTGAGCACTGAAGTCCCCCAGCAGAACAAGGGAGTCCCCAGGAGGTGCACTTTCCATATTTTTTCAACATCATTATTCATGTTTTGACTAAAAGTTGTCAACATTTTGAAGATGTTTTTTCCTTCTGTGGTTTTCAGAGCACGTCCTCAGCTGCTGTCACCAGCTACTTGGTGCCTAAGGAGTCTTCCCTGGACCAGATGTCTAATGCCCCTTTTCCACTGTCACGGCGCAGGTCGGAAATTTCTGGCTTGACCTGTGTTTGAGGTCTTTTCCATGGTTCTTGGGACTGGCTCACCTCCCAGAATTCTGGCCCGGCTTCTCAAGAGGTCCAAGCGAACCGAGCCGTGACGTCAGAAACACTGTCGGCCACTGATTGGTTGAGGGGAGGAGTCTGTGGAGTCTTTCCAAACAACCTGATCTGCCATTTTTCTCTACCTCCTGCCATTAGCGATAACTCGAGGAGTGTATCTTTTAGTATTTTGAAGCTATACAAAACCAATAATATCAAAGCCATGGTCAAATGCAGAAGTGCACGTGTTGTTGTGCTTGGTGGCTGACGAAAAAAGTCAAAGCGAGCTAGATGGAGTGATTGGAGGGTGGTTTGGACACGGCCACTGCTCTACTTGAATCATTTATAGAAGATGGTGAGTGTTTTCTAGCTTTAAACATATTTTAAGTTACTCATCCCATCGGTTCTGAACATATTTTTAACTAACAAAAGAGGCTGATGCCATAATAGGACAACATTGGTGCTACGACGCTAAGCTAATTTAAATAAACGCTAACTGTCCTCCGGTCCCATCTCTCACTGTATTTTATCCAGAACGTATTTCAGCGTGTGACAGTTCGTCTCTAAACTCCACATTAAACCTTCCAAGCCTCCCGGCTTCTGCCCCTGCTCCATCAGCAGAGTCTACACCTGACAGATGTCCATCACAGGCTCGCAGCCCACCTGCACCTCACAGAGCAGCACAACGCTGCAGCCTTCTGTGCTCAGTAAGAACAGATGCAACATGTTCCACATCACTTTATTCGTGCCGATAAGGACTTGCTTTTATTTTATTTTTAAAGTAAAAAAATAAAATGTTGAATAAATACTGAATTGGGATGAAATTATGTACACAGGGTCCCAGTTACAGACAACAAAATGTAAAAGAAAAACAGTAATAAGATCTAAGATATGAATTAAGAAAAATATCAACTAAAAAACATCTACTAATAATACACTAAGCACTAATCAGAATCACAATAAACTTTATTGGCATTACACCAAGATACAACAAGAATATGTACATACAGTCATCCGAAAGATGGGCGGAGTGCACAAAGCTGCAGTTATTAAATAGCAGAGCCCTCTTATTCTTATTCAGAATAATATTTTGCTTAGATGAGAAAAGGAAAGAAAACATGAGGAGAGACCGTATAAAAAAGATCTCTCACACCGTGTCCTAGACAGGGCACGATTTGAGGCATCAAAAAAAAAAACTACCACAGCAAAGCAACATGCACACGTTATACATGTACATATATGCCGGTGAAGACTGAATTTTTAAGGGAAAGTCGTAGCATAATAGCAGTAACATCAACAACAGCAACAATATCCTAGAATCCTATTTCTGGATTCTAAAAAGAACCATATCAGTAAGAATTGCCATTCTAAAATGAAGGTAAATGACCTTTACTGTGAGTTTCCCTGTGGACGACGATCCAACTCCGGTTGCTAGGTTGGGCGAGCCATGGGGTGAGATAAGGGTATGGCTCACAGATGGAGGTTGTTAACAAATCTGGGTGAGTCACCTTCAACACAGCCTAAGTAGAACTAATCGAAGATTACTCTGGGTAATACTCAAGTGTTTAGACGTTGGTTACGTACTGTAACCCCAGATGCTATGAGTATAGGCGTAGCCCTTTAAGGCTGTCACTGGTGGGTTTTATCCCGTCACGCAAAGCATCGCACTGAAAAAAATTTAGTCCACGCCCACCTGTTGTGTGGGCCCCACCCGGTCCGTATAAATTACATTAAGAGCGAGTAATCGGCTCCCAAATAGCTTTTTCTTCAGCTATTTAGGAGCCAGTGAGGCACGACGCTTAAAGGGCTACGCCTATACTCATAGAATCTGGGGTTACAGTACCTAACCAACATTCTATTTCGTATAGGCTTCGCCCTTTAAGGCTGTCGCTGGTGGGTTAAGGGCGAAGCAAATGTACTTTGTAGTCTCCGCCTCACTGGGTCCATTTGGACACCATAAGAAGCGCCCGCTTGCCAAAAAACAACATCTTGTCACTCAGCTCTCCATGTGCGTAAATACGCATTGCGTAATTACGCGCACCATGCACAGTCGCGCACTGCGTAATTTACGCGTTCCGAGTGCAAGAACGCCCCGGAAAGGTTTTCAACAGAAAAGGGGAGAGGCTGAAAAAGGCTGTGAACAGAGCAGATCCACGGCTCTTCAATATGAACAGATTAATAATAAATGAACTGATTATTAATCAATGACTGATTGATGACAGTAGTCATGAACTGATTAATAACCATAGAACAAGAACAACAGTCATAACCTGTGACTGATAACATCTCACACTGTAAATGCATGCAGTCAGATATGAGTTTAAACAAGATTCCATGAAACAACAATATTCATTCTGTTAAGGCACTAAGGACAGAATGCGTCATGGAACGAGCCGTCACATCACGTAAATAGAAGCAAAAAAATGAACAGGATGTTGACCACACGGTCGCAGTGCAAATATCCTGCAATGACATACCATTATGCAAAGCAGTCGAAGATGCGATACCTCTGGTCGAGTGCGCCCTGAGGTTGTCAGGAGGCTCTAAATCTGATGCACTGGAGGCTTCAGAAATGGCCTCACACAGCCAGTGTGACAGGCGCTGGGTGGATAACGGGCGACCTGCAGATGTGTCTCTATAGTGCACAAACAAATGTTGAGTCTGACGCAATGCCGCCGTGCTTGTTACATAACACGTCAACACACGTACAGGGCAGATAAGATGGAAAGATGCTTCTTCTGATTGTGGGGACGACAGAAAAAATCCCTCCAATGAAATCGCACTTGAGTTAAAGAGCTTGGGATGTTTTAGGCATAAAACGCTGGATTAGGCCTCAGATCATCTGAGCTGACATCAGCCTAGTTCTGAGACATGACGGAGCGACAGAGAGGGCAGATAAATCACTCACCCTCTTAGCGGATGCTAAAGCCAGCAGCAGGGCTGTTTTAAAAGACAAGAATTTAATTAGAAACTGATCTAGTGGCTCGAAGCTCGAAAACTCAATTCCCGGAAGACAGTGGAGATGATTGTGGATTTCAGGAAAGCCACAGCCCCTCTGCCCCCCCCTCACCTGTAATGATACCCCCATCACCACTGCAAACTCTTATCAGTTCCTCGGCACCACCATCACCCAGGACCTCAAGTGGGAGCCGACCATCAGCTCCCTCATCAAGAAGGCCCAGCAGAGACTGTACTTCCTGCGACAGCAGAAGAAGGCCAAGCTGCCGGCCAAGCTGATGGTGCAGTTCTACACGGCCATCATCGAGTCCATCCTCAGCTCCTCCATCACAGTGTGGTACGCCGGGGCCACTGCCAGGGACAGACTGAGACTGCAGCGCATTGTGCGCTCAGCTGAGAAGGTGATCGGCTGCAGCCTTCCATCCCTCCACAACCTGTACGTCTCCAGGACTGTGTGGCAAGCAGGTCGGATCACAGCTGGCCCTGCTCACCCTGCACACGGACTGTTCGAACCACTCCCCTCAGGCAGGAGGCTTCGGTCCATTCGGACCAGAACCTCCCACCATAAGAACAGTTTCTTCCCCTCTGCTGTTGGACTCCTGAACACTCATAATGCTACCTCATAATTTTTGCCTTGGTCACATTACATCTGTATTATAATTGAATACTCCATCTGTATTGTTTTCTAAGCTTTTTTTATTGTTTTCTATTGTATGGGTGTACACGTTTTATGTTTCGTTTTCATTTTTACTTTATTTATGTGTGTACACAGGTCTTATGTCTTATGTAATGTTTTCATTTTTACTTTATTTTACTTTATTACTATTCGCACCATATGTCGAAGAAAATTCCTAGTTTGTGAACCTCGTTCATTGACATGGCAATAATAAACTGATTCTGATTCTGAATGGAGCTTTGATCAGGGCTCGCAGGACCAGCGTTAAATCCCACTGTGGAGTAAGTGGGCATGAAAAGGCCTGCATCTATGTACACCTTTTTAAAAAACGCTTCATCAGCGGATGATTAAAAGCTGTTCTGTCCCCGAAAACCTTTGTGACAAGAAGAGATGGCTGCAGCGTACGTTTTAATCGTGCTGAATGCCAGATTTCTGTCCATCAGCTGCTGCAGAAAGACAGCACACCACCTAGTGGACATGAGGTGGCCTCTACACCTTTCTTCGTACAACAGCGCTGCAAAACTGTCCACTTTGATGTGTACAGCACTGTGGTAGATGCAGCACGTAAATCCTGAATCGTAAGCACTACATCTTGAGAGAGACCCATCTCTAAAAGCGGATCCGCTCAGCGGCCAGACTCAACGGTGCTGGCTTATTTCTGGGTAACTCCTGATCGCTCCTCCCGCCTGGAGGAGAGCATCCTCCCTCCACGGCAGTTTCTACGGGCGCCCCGATAACAGGTGTCATAGAACTGGGAACCATGGGGCGTTCACGTGCTCGGGAGCCACCAGGAGAGCTGTCAGTCCCTCCTCCTGAACTCGGTTCAGAAACCGTGATATCAGAGGGAGTGGGGGAAATGCGTAAAGAAGCATTTTGGGCCACAGGCTCTGAGCAAACACGTCCACCCCTTAGCGGTGGTTCGTCCCACGGGCTCAGTGAGAACTATAGTTGACATTGAGCGTTCTCTCGTGTTGCAAACAGGACCACAGCCACTTTGCTAAATTTCTGCCACGTCTGAGCCATCAGCTCTGGATGGGGGGTCCGGTCCCTGTGACGCGGACCGTCCCTGGACATCACATCCGCCCCCTGTTCAGAACACCGGGGATGTACACTGCTCTGATGGAGAGCAGATTTTGGTGTGCCCAACACAGCAGCTGTCTCACAATGTGTAACATTTGGGCTGAGCACGCATATTATTATTACGAAAAATATTCCTCGGCGCTTACCTTGAAACAAGACTGTTCGTCTGCTTCTCCTCGGGGAGGAAAACTCACCGAGACGGCAGGAGGTTGGCGTGGCGGGACCACAGGCAGCCTTAACAAAGGTTGTGCTGGTCAAGCTGGACAACTTCCGTTCTTCTGACAGTGCTATTAGCTTGCTGAAGAAAAATGGGAGCTGATTACCTGCTCTTAACGAAATTTATACGGACCGGGTGGGGCCCACACAACAGGTGGGTGTAATAATTTTTTTCAGTGCGATGCTTTGCATGACAGGATAAAACCCACCAGCAACAGCCTTAAAGGGCGAAGCCTATACGAAATAGAACTTATTTCGTTACACCCCTTAAAGGAGAGGCTGCAGTGGGGTTTAGCCATAACTCAGGTGGCATCTCCACTAGGTAGATAAAACACCACACTTTGGAGGATGTACGGGGGGTGAGCAAGTACCGAGCAGCAGATGATTGTATAGGTACTGTTACAGAGCTGAGATGTGCACTGTTGCGCTCGGTCAACAAGGAGTCAATGAGGCTGCTAATTGACTCCTCGATAGAGGCAGAAGCATTTGGATCCTGCCTCCGTCAAAGGAATTGAGGGCCTTGTCCAGTAGGTAGCTTTCTGGAAGCTGGAAAGGTTCTTCGTCTGAAGTAAGATGGCTGCCAGCATTGTTTCTCCTCTCGCGATAGGAGCCTGCTGCACAGGCAGGAAGCCGGCGAGTGTCAGGGTTCGATCAGCGAGTTCTGCTCCCAGGCAACCTTTGCAGATGGCGTGCAGATCGGGGCTGAGGATAAACCGCTTCTTGCAGGCCGGACGCAGGTGAACAACTCCACTGGACATCTTCTGCTCTTTAATTTTCTTATGTGCTTGCTTGCTGTTTGCTGAAGAAAGAAGTGGAGCCTACCCCCAGTCTCAGGGAAATTTATACAGACCGGGGTGGGGCCCGCAGCAGGTGGGAGTGGACTAAAGTTTTCAGTGCTGTGCTGCGTGCGAGGGGTGAACGCATTAGCAACAGCCTTAAAAGATGAAGCCTATACAAAATAGAACATTCTAAACATACTGCTATTTTTTCCCCAGATAAAATGTTAAATGAAATATTTATCAAAATTCCTCTGAATAGAAATATCAAATTTTCCTGGATTTTTTTCAAATCAAAGTGGATTACAAGACCTTGTACATGTGAATTTTTATTTGTTCAGTGCTTGTTATAATTGCTTTTGGCCCTGCTGTGGCTACTATTTCTATATGAATATATGTATCTACAGTATATAGAGTATCCTATCTGCTGTGTCAATCAGAGAACAAATATCTGAGCAACATTAGGTAGTATTATATTTGCAAAATTAGTGTTGATGTTAAATTCACAATGCAATTTATAAAACAGCTCATGGATTTTGGTGCACTATTTCCCAAAGGTTAAAACTGACAAAAGCAGACATAGGGCCTTACGTACAAATGGTGTATTCAGAAAAATACAGTATAGTGTTCACCCTTTTCAACTCAACTATATCAAGAGTTAACTGATTGTGGAATTGTAAAAAAGCCCTATGCTAACTTCAAGGTTGGTGTATCCACATTTCTACAGCTACTGGTCCATTGGTGACCAAGAACAATGAATGTTACTGTATACACCAGGGTGCAGTAAGAGAAAGCACAAGTTTCTTGCATAGAGAGCTCAAGTTGAAAATTGTGTTTTCAGGATCTTGGTGAAGAATATCTTTGAGTGTGACTAGATCATCATATTAAATGTTTTTAAACTGTCAATAAGAAGAATAATTTGTTCACATATTCTTTGCCCAATAATATCCAAGACAGAAAAATCAAATAATGATTTAGGCAGCTAAATGTGACATGATCAGCTTATCCAATATGTGTGTGTGTGTGTGTGTTTGTGTGTGCAGGCATGCGTGCGTGTGTAATTTAATTTTCTTTTTACTGGAAAACATTTTAATCAAAAATATGCTTTGTCTTAAATTTACTACGTATCAGGCCAGTAAATTATCTGTTAATGAAAATAAAATGGGTGAATCAGTGTCTGACTGACAAATGAATGGAGATAAAGGTGTAAAACAAGAAATGGGTGGCTGTAGTTATTAAGTTTTCTTACCAATGTACTGGCCCTCCTTATCTTTCCGGCTCTTAGTGAGTGAGCAGTAAGGACGTCGCTCTTTCACTTCCATAATGATTCTGCTTGTGCTGCTGGCAAACATATGGACATGATGTTCTACAGCTGTACAGACACAAGTACAGACAGAAGCAAACAAACATTAGAAAATAAGGTACATGTGAGAGTCAAACAGAGGATGACTCTACCTAAATACATAACAGGTGACAAAAATGGGACAGTCCATGACAAAGTCATTGCCTGAAACATTTTCCCCTAGAGATGCTCCACTACCAGATTTGAGAATTGGTCGAATAGCATGTGCATGCGCTCCTGCTCATAAAAGTGTTCCAGTATCACAGTACCGATAGTACTTTACAACATTGTTACAAACCATGAGAGCAGTGTAAAATATATTGGCCCAAGAAAGCTGAGCCAACAGTAAGCTGTCTTGCAGCAAAAACTTGTTATGGCCCCACCCCCACCTAAGACTCTCTGATCATAACTCCATCTTCCTGGCCCAAGCTTACCTCCACCCACTAAAATGTTCCAGACCGTTACAAAAGAAAGTTAAATCTTGGATGCAGAATAGTGACTCCATACTGAAAGACTATTTTGCATGCACAGACTGGCAGGTCTTCAGAGAAGCTGCTGAAAATTAGGGATGAGGGCCGATCCGATCCAGTATCGTATCGGCCTCCGATACCAGCAAAATTTACGTATCGGATTTTCCGATCCACCTGCCGATATTTCTGATCCATGATGCATGTTGGCTTCAAACTATGGAATGGATTTCCTGAACGGCGGCGTGTCTCATGAACCCAGAGTAATAAAACCCGCCCCACATTCAGGAAATCCACTTCATAGTTTGCAGCCAGCTACAACGTGAGGACTGAGTTAGCAGCACTGTGGCTAACAGCTAACCAACTTTTCATCTAAACATGTCCGCTGTGTGCAAGTAGACAAAAGAAGACAGCATCGTGCAATGTCTGCAGAGCCATAGTGCCAAATTAAACTGCTGTAAAGTTAGTTTTATGATGGACATTTGAGCTCCGTGGCTTCAGCGGGGCACTACTCTTTGGTCAAATTGAAAGAGGCGACTCGACCCCGGCCAGCCGCGTCCAATCTGCCCCGCTCAGTCTGCCCGTCTCTGAGGAGGGACAGACTGAGCTCGGCTGTCACAAATCAGGCTGCCTGCTTCGGATTGAACAAGAAGAAGACATCGCTGAAACCATCCATCCATCCATCCATTTTCTTTACCCGCTTATTCCATTTTGGGTCACGGGGGTCGCTGGTGCCCATGTCCAGCAGTCACTGTGCGAGGGGCGGGGTACACCCTGGACGGGTCGCAAGTCCATCACAGGGACACACAGAGACAAACAACCATTCACTCTCTCACTAACACCTAGGGACAATTTAGAGTTACCAATCAGCCTAACATGCATGTTTTTGGACTGTGGGAGGAAACCGGAGCACCCGGAGAAAACCCACGCATGCACGGAGAGAACATGCAAACTCCACCCAGAAAGGCCCCTGGACCGGGGTTTGAACCAGGGACCTGCTCGCTGAGAGGCAGCAGCTCTACCAGTTGCGCCACCGTGCTGCCCATCGCTGAAACCACGGAGCTCAAATCTTTACAGAGAAGTTGCTAAACTTCATCATAATTAATGACCAAACACTATCAGTTTTAGAAAATGAAGGATTTCACAGCTTGATACTTGCAGCCAAGATATAGTTTACCCTCCAGGAGATATTTATCTGTACAACATTAGACAATCATAAAAAACATGTGATTTGAAAATTATATATATTAAAAACATAAACAGCTACATTATAAAGTGATGTAAAATACTAAAAACAGGAACATGTCTCTTGGTTTATGCCATGAACTTAGCAGGTGTTTGAAGCCATTTAACATTTAATTTAATTTAATTCATTTTTTCATTTGTTTAAAAGAAACAATTTTTTTTTAATCATCAAAAGAAATCACTGAATGAAAAGAGTGCAGAAAGAAGAAAAAAATTCTTATATCTGCCCCTTATTTAAAAAAAAACAAAAACTAAACAATCACTTAAAATTAATCACTTTAATATCCACTTTAAAGCTATGAATAAAAAGAAACATGTTTTTGTGTTAGCAGAATTTAATTCTAACTTTAAAACTTATCCAACATTAATAAAACTTACCTCAAGTTGCCTTTTTGGACATGCATGCATATATTTGTACTTGAAAGGAGATTATTACAGCCTCATGTAAAATCAATGATGATCATGATATCGGAACTGGATCGGAAGTAAAAAAAGTGGATCGGTGCATCCCTACTGAAAATGAGGGGGTGCTAGACCTGGAGGAATACACATCCTCAGTCCTAGGGTACATTAGCAAATGTGCTGATGACATCACCACCATAAGATAAGTTAAGAGCTACCTGAACAGGAAACCTTGACTGAATGCAGAGGTTGGCACTGTGCTGGAAGCCAGGGACACTGCCTTCAGGTCTGGAAACTCACAGGAGCTGAGGATAAGGAAAGAGCTGGTTGCTAGTATTAAGAGGGCCAAGGCCACATATGCAGAGAGGATCCAGGATCAATTCACCTCACAAGACCAACAAAGCATGTGGAGGGGCATTAAGTGTATAACAGACTGTAAAGGCAGAAGTGAACAATGCCCTAGAGACCGATCACTGCATGATGCCCTCAACAGGTTTTATGCACATTTTGAAGATCTGAACAGTCCACCCAGTACCAGACTCACCTCACCACCGTAAGAAAAGATTCTCAGCATGATCTCAGTCGAAGTGAGGAGTACTTTCAAGAGGATTAATCCTCACAAAGCAACTGGCCCAGACTACATTCCCGGGAAGGTGCTGAAAGACTGTGCTGATCAGCTCTGCGAGGTGCTGGCCAACATCTTTAATTCCTCACTTACCCTGACAACAGTTCCCACCTGCCTGAAGACCACCACCATCATCCCAGTCCCAAAGAGCTCTACAGTGACTGGTCTGAATGACTATAGGTCAGTAGCCCTCACCTCGATAGTCGTTAAATGCTTCAAAAAACTGGTCATGACCCACATCGAAACAATCATCAACATCAGCGAGGACCCTAACCAGTACACATACTGTGAGAATCAATCAACAGAAGATGCCATCTCCTCTGTGGTCTACACTGCTCTCACCCACCTGGAGCAGAAGAACTCCTACGTTTGTATGCTCTTTGTGGACTTCATGTTTACCTTCAACACCATGATCCCCCAAAACCTGATGGACAAACTACTCACACTAGGACTAAGCCCCTCCATTTGCAACTGGGTCCTTGGCTTCTTAACAAACAGACCACAGTCTGTGCGGATCCACAACTTCTCCCACTCCACCATAACCCTCAGCACTGGCTCCCCTCAGGGCTGTGTCTGAGCCCTCTCCTGTTCACTCTGCTCACGTATGACTGTGCACCGAACCATAAAGGCTGTCATATTGTAAAGTTTGCAGACGATACAGAGGTAGTGGGATGCATCACAAGCAACAATGAGTCCAGCTACAGTCAGGAGGTGGGAAACCTGGAGAGCTTCTGCAGGAAGAATAGCCTTCAATGTGAAGAAGATGAGATGTTTGTGGACTTCAGACTGAACAAATATACCTACCCCCACCCCCCACTTCCGCTTTGGCTTAATGTAATTTCGTTTCTTCTAATGCAATTCTGTTTTTTCAAATGTTGTTCATTTACACCTTAGGGCCACCGTAGTTAAAAGTTATTTTAATTATTTTAGAACTTCTATGTTCAGCTGTTTCAGTGTAATTGATCAAGAAGTACATTTCTGCTCCGTGCTGCAGAGCTGTGTAAAGCTGTGTGACATCCCTTTGATGCCCTGCTGCACTTGTCTTCTCTGAAATTTAAATACTGTAACATTTTAAATTAACAATCCATGCTGCACGGTGGCGCAACTGGTAGAGCTGCTGCCTCTCAGCGAGCAGGTCCTTGGTTCAAACCCCGGTCCAGGGGCCTTTCTGGGTGGAGTTTGCATGTTCTCTCCGTGCATGCGTGGGTTTTCTCGGGGTACTCCGGTTTCCTCCCACAGTCCAAAAACATGCATGTTAGGCTGATTGGTAACTCTAAATTGTCCCTAGGTGTGAGTGAGAGAGTGAATGGTTGTTTGTCTCATTTGTCTCTATGTGGCCCTGTGATGGACTTGCGACCCGTCCAGGGTGTACCCCTCCCCTTGCACAGTGATTGCTGGACATGGGCACCGGCGATCCCCATGACCCAAAATGGAATAAGCTGGTAAACATAATGGATGGATGTATAGAATCCATGCTGCATGGATTGTTAATTTACAGTGTTTAAATTCAAATTGTTTATTTAAGGAGGGAGATTGGGAGTAACAGGTGATGAGTGAGTGTGATTGCAGCCTGGCACATGTCATGACAAAGTTTCCTGAACTTGAACTGAACTTAAACTTGGACTACTGCATCCCTATTTCGTGTTTTTTTTTTTCACTTATTATGGGTGGGTGTTGTCCCAAACACCCACGATAAATGAGGGATCACTGTATTTTTAGTTAATGTTTTTATTAGTTCATATCTTAGATCTTATTACTGTTTTTCTTTTACATTTTATACTTTTGTGTGATGTAACTGGGACCCTGTGTACACAATTTCGTTCCACCACATGTACCACAGGTAGTGTGTATGACAAATAAAGAACCTTGAGTCCTTGAATGACTGTCGCCATCAGTCTTCACTATTCTGATGGAAGGGGACAAAGTAGGGAGAGTGGATATGGTCCAAACTGACGGTGGATATAATGAGCATGAAAAGCTGCTTAATGAAGTGCTGGCATAGTGTCAAAGGAAGCTGCTAAGTGAATGCTGCTTTTGCCATCTCTCCACTCATACTGCTTTGAGGTGGATGTCTTAAAGAGCTGAGTGACAAAACTTTAGCCTAATTGTTTTTTTTTAATAATGAACAGTTCAGATTTTACCAATGTTACTGGCTTGGAACAGTGCCTTGGTTGTGCTGAAAATGCTTGTGGTGCTGACCGTTAATCATGATGTACATCATGA